AAGTCTCTCTCCCTCAATTCACATTCTCTTCTTCAGAAAGAAAGATGGGAAAAGGAAAGAAAATCCACATCTTCGAACTTTTCATAGACATCTGTCATTTGCTTGTCTTGCAATCTTATTTGAACTGATGGAGGAAACCTCTGTTGACACAAATGAAAGGACACGGTATGTATAATGATTCATTATACACGATGATATTCAACTGAAATTATATTTGAAAATAAAATGGAAAGTTTAACGGAAACATGTTGATATTAACTACAGTGGAGAAAAGGTAATTACTATAAGTACCTCCATGTCATAATACATTATGAATAATCTTTATATCATTTAACATTATAAAATATTCGAGCATCAGAAATTTGAAACCATAATCTGATTAATGTAAAGAACTGTCACAGAAAATACTTTTTTTTTCCTTTGCCATGAAATTTACAGCATTGCTATTTTTACATTTAATTCTAACTCTTCAAATATAATGTTCGCTTCAGAATATTGGTATATAATACCAAATGTCATGAGGCAAAAACAAAATAACTTTGGCAGTAATGGAAAAATCCTTTAACCGTGTTTCGAAAAAGGAAGAAGGAAAAAAAATCCTATCTTCCTATCGTTGAGAATATAGTAAAAAATTAATGTTGTATGCATAATGACCCTCAGGAAATGAGAGGACTGAGAATCTACCAAATGATTGATGAAAGGATTTGGTGTTTTTATTTGACGAGGAATCTAAAATGATTTTTTTTTTTGCTAAGATATAGACATTAACATGACATCACATTACAAGTGAACACTTTGGGTAAACTAAAAATGCTTTATGGAAAATTGCATTGGCTCATAGAAAACGAGAATCATTGAATGTTTCGTAGATTGTCAAAAATATACAAAAAATCTGTGCTCGGGAACATTTGTAGAACGAAATCTAGAAAAATACACCTTCCCTGCCATAAAGTGACGAAAGAAAAGGCACTGCACAAGGCCCTTTGTGCCCTCCAACAAAAACAAGCGGAGCCGCCGGTCCTGGAGATTGATGCTGGAGTTCAGAACATCCAGAACATAGTTGAACAAGATGATAACGGGAGATCGGGTGAACAAAATCTGGCTCGAGAAATTTCTGGAAGACTGTTTCTTCACTATAAAAGTAATCTATCGAGAGTAAAGCGATAGAAATGCCTTGGTTTAGTTTCATATCTACAGCCAGATATATATATATATATATATATATATATATATATATATATATATATGTATATATATCAGCAGTCAATTTCTTAAATGCTGAGACGTGTTGCTCGACCAAACTAGACTATCTGGCTCAATGTTGGAGCATTAAAATATAGAACTGCATTGGTTCGAGGATTGTAAAGTTATGTTAAGGGGTTTCCCCAATCCCTCGATGAACACACTGCATCCACCACTATGGATCCTTCTTGAGGACACGAGACATCTTCCGACGAACCTGAGAGTCCTGCATAGATGCCCTTTCAGCACAGAAGTGTTAAGGCATGACGTGTCGGACTCTTGCACAACAACAAAGTTCTAGAAAAATAGAACTATTAATATTGATCTGAACATCAATATTAAGTCACGGCATTTATGAGAAAAATGTAAATCTTGAGTGAGTATTTTCACTCACATGATTATGAAAAACATACTGTGGAACCCTAACATATCATAGTTCAAAGTTCACTTGGCAGGTTCAGTTTGCACATCAGTCGAGGTCTGGTTATCACTTCTGCCTTTACGTCTCGTGGCGCCCGGCGTAGCTACTCTGTTGACTCTCTTCATCGAGGAAGATTTAGCAGCGACGTCGTGCTTTACCGCGTTGCTCCCACTCGGCTCGCTCCCGACTTCCGTGCTGCTGATGCTCGAGGCTGAAGCACTTGGAGATGCCCCCGGCGCTTTCGCCATCAAGGGCTTTGGTTTGTCATAAGCAGACGTTTGCTTAAGCACACCCTTTAGTGGCTTTTCGGCTGGGGTCGTAGACGGGCTCGAAATAGAAATAGAAGTGTTCGTGGAGCTTTCTTTCTTTATAGATTTCTTGCGTTTTATTGTACCAGTATTCTCACTCTGCTCGTACACAGTACTGGTGTCTGATCCTGATGTAACTGAGGACTGCTGGCGGAGTGCACAGGTGTGAGTGGCAGCTGGCACAGGGGCAATATTTCTAGAGGAGGAACGCCCTGGGTTAGAAGCTCCAACAAATGCAGGCGCAGTGGCGGTGGCTAATGCTGTCTGTGCTGCAGCTGTTACAATAGCTGTCGCATTTGGCATTGTCTTACTTGGGTCATAGTTTTGACGTAGCCTCGTCTGCTCAGTGTAGGAAGCCCCGTCTCCTGGTGAATGGTTACCCATTTTGCCAAATGTAGCGAGGGGAACACGAGCAGGTCTTGCTTCGCCATACGTCTCATAAGTTTTATTGGAATTGCTAATCTCTGAAGTTGCAGGATTTTTTGGTGCAGAAGCGACTCTGCTATCTTTGTAGATATAAGTAGGCTCA